AAAAAACACGCATCGGTAGGGTTGAATTTGCGCACAAATACCTCTAGTCGCGTTCGCCATTTCTCGCTTGCTTTCCCTTAAAGCCTCTGAAAAACGAAGCAGAGCAAAATTGAGCCAAAAAGTAAATTTAAATTTAAAAAAAAAGTATAAATAAATAAATACAATGGAATCCATTAAAATCCAGAATACGATGATTAAAGCTCAAAAGCTCAAGCTGTCCAAAAGTCGAACTAACTATCAATTCGGGATTCACGAGGGGCAAACAAGATTCAATCATCAACGGATAGAACTTAGAAGAAACATCAAAATAAACACAGTAAAATTCAGGATAAAGAAAAGGAAATAAAATTAAGGACATCAAACCTTTGGCCGTAGGTTTTTTGGAGAAGAAGTTCATGTTTCCAATCAGGCAGGCGATCGTCGGCTGATTGTCGGGCCGAGGGATCTTTTATCAAATTGATAAAAAATATATAAATGTGTTATATATATGTTTGTGTGTATGTGTATGACTGTATGTAACAAACGCGGCAGATTACGCTATCAGCATCTATGCACATAAGAACTGCGTCGAAGGTTTATGGAAAATACCTTGGATTTACTGTTTTTTTTTTTATTTTTATTTTTTTCGTGTTTTTGCTTTCTTTCATTCGATTGTGTTGAAATCTTTATACGCCTTTTTTCAATAAGGTTTAATCCTTTGATTGGCACGAAAATTTTATGAAGCCCCTTTTATGTCTGCCAATCAACGGATTAAACCTTATTATAGTAAATATAATCTCTTTTTATATAAGTATAGATTGTATAATCTCATTTGAAATATAAGGCGTATAAAGATTTCTCAATTTTTTTGAAATACAAGGCGCGCTAAAAAATCAAGACAAATTTTTATATTTTTTTCTAAATATACCCTCATTGTGTTGAAATTAAGGAAGTGTGGAGTGGTTGTGATTAGAGTAAATAAGGTTAATTTAGTCAATTTATTCATTAATTAATGTCTCCTTAATATTTGTACAATAACCTTAAATGCCTTATATTTCAAAATGGAGGGAGTACTACATATTTATCGTCGAACCCTCTTTCCAGTTTCTGGTTCAAATTATGAGTTTTATTATGCTGAGTCCTTACAACATTAAATTGCTCAAAATATGACTACTAATATTAGAAGGTAGGTATAGCAGTTGGCAACTAAAAATAAAAGTACACAAATGGACTATTGATGTTAATGAAATAAAGCTATATAAGTTTGATGTTTGAACACTGCAAAAATCACAATTGTACAACCTATGCATTACAATTCACACAAGCAATCTCGGGAGGAAAATTCGCTGACATCATAATCTATATCTATCTATCTATCTATATATATATAAAGAGAGAGTTGATGGAATTTATTGCTAAATATAGATGATATGCAATGACTGTAATTGACAACATTTCTACATTTGGTTGGGTAATTGTAAGGTTAATTATTTTTGCTAAGAATGCCAAATAATAATTGAAAATGCATTAACTTAACTAAATTCGTATTCAATTATTTTTGGTTATTTTTAAGAATGGAAAATAATAATTGTAAGTTAACTTACCCAATTCATTCCGTTTGGAAATTTAACAATAATATTTATATTTTTTACAATGTATTTAAAAATATATAGCATCAACTACGCTCAACAATATTCCAATTATTTGATACCTTAAATACATTTAATATCATGAAATCTACATATGTCATTACTGTGTTTTTTAAGACAGTCGTATTAGTTTATGCTAGCATAGCCATACTTATTAGTTTATGCTAACATTAGGTATAGATCCCAAAAAACAAGTTAAAGAAAAAAAAAATATTTATTATGAATAACCTATTTAAATTAAGTTATTATATGAATACATGATAATCATGAATGATTAACAAAATACATGAATCATATTTATGTCAATAAAATTAAGCAATAGTAATGGTGAATGCTTAACTAAATACATCCAAACTTACCAAGATACTCGAGTACAGAATAGGAGTAATTCACGCTATAAATCTCATTTCCAAAACTTGTGTCATCATATTGTTCTTTCATAATTCAAGAAGAATGAAATCTACATTAATATCCCACAATTTTTGCGCAAACCAAGTTTTTTCGGAGACATTAATTAATTTTTCTATTTTGGTATCTAATTACTATTTTCCATAGTTTTTTTTTAATATTTAAACTTTTGGAAATCCGATATATAAATCAGTTAATAAAAGAATCAAAAAGGCTTTTTTTCGAAACATGATTATTGCGATCAAAATATGTTATCCACATCAAATGTTGGTGTTGTGTACGAAACCAAGTTTTTTCAGAGACGTTTATTATTTTTTTATTTTGGTCTCTAATTACTATTTTTCATGGCTTTTTCAATACATAACGTTTGTTTCGAAACATGATTATTGCGAAGAAAATATGTTATCCACATCAAATGTCATTGTTGTATTCGAAACTAAGTTTTCTCGGAGACGTTGATTAATTTTTCTATTTTGGTCTCTAATTACTATTTTCTATGACTTTTTTCAATACATAAACATTGGTTTCGAAACATGATTATTGTGATGAAAATATGTTATCCACATTGAATGTTGGTGTTGTGTTCGAAACCAAGTTTTTTCAAGGACGTTGATTAATTTTTTCTATTTTGGTCTGTAATTACTATTTTCCACGGTTTTTTTTCAATACATAAACTTTTGTTTTGGAACATGATTATTGCGATGAAAATATGTTATCCACATTGAATATTGGTGTTGTGTTGGAAACCAAGTTCTTTCGGAGACGTTGATAAATTTTTCTATTTTGGTCTCTAATTACTATATTCCATGGGTTTTAGTTTTAATACATAAACTTTTTTTTGGAAACTTGATTTTTGCGATGAAAATATGTTATCCACATCAAATGTTGGCGTTTTGTTTGAAACCAATTTTTTTTTTCAATTACGTTGATTAATTTTTCTATTTTGCTCTCTAATAACTATTTTTCATGGGTTTTTTTTAATACTTCAAATTTTGTTTCGAAACTTGATTTTTGCGATTAAAATATGTTATCTAAATCAAATGTTGGTGTTGTGTTCGAAATCAAGTTTTTTCGGAGACGTTGGTTAATTTTTCTATTTTGGTCTTTAATTACTATTTTCCATGAGGTTTTTTAATACATAAACTTTTATTTCGAAACTTGATTTTTGCGATGAAAATATGTTATCCACGTTGAAGGTTGGTGTTGTTTTCGAAACTATGTTTTTTCGGAGGCGTTGATTAATTTTTCTATTTTGGTCTCTAATTACTATTTTTCATGGGTTTTTTAATACATAAACTTTTGTTTCGAAACTTGATTTTGTGATAAAAATATGTTATCCACATTGAATGTTGGTATTGTGTTCGAAACTAAGTTTTTTTCAAGGACGTTGATTAATTTTTCTATGTTGGTCTCTAATTACTATTTTCCATAACCTTTTTCAATATATAAACTTTTGTTTCGAAACATGATTATTGCGATGAAAATATGTTATCCACATTAAATGTTGGTGTTGTATTCAAATGTCTTTTTTCAACACATAAACTTTTGTTTCAAAACATGATTATTGCGATGGAAATATGTTATCCACATTGAATGTTGGTGTTGTTTGCGAAACCAAGTTTTTTCAGAGAGATTGATTAGTTTTTCTATTTTGGTCTCTTATTACTATTTTTCATGGGTTTTTTTTAATAATAAACTTTTTTGTTCGAAACTTAATTTTGCGATGAAAGTATGTTATCCACATTGAATGTTGGTGTTGTGTTCGAAACAAAGTTTTCTAAGGACATTGAATAATTTTTCTAATTTAGTCTGTAATTACTATTTTCTATGGCTTTTTTCAATACATAAACTTTTGTTTCGAAATATGATTATTGCGATGAAAATATGTTATCCACATCAAATGTTGGTGTTGTGTTCGAAACCAAGTTTTTTGGGAGACGTTGATTAATTTTTCTATTTTAGTCTCTAATAATTTTTTTCCATGGCTTTTTTAATACATAAACTTTTAGTTCGAGACGTGATTTTTGCGATGAAAATACTTTATCCACATCAAATATTGGTGTTGTGTTCGAAACCAAGTTTTTCCGAAAACGTTGATTAATTTTTTTATTTTGGTCTCTAATTACTATTTTCCATGGTTTTTTTTATTTTGGTCTCTTAGGCCTGCCAGACAAGGCTCCAGCCTAGGGCCTCATTTTTTTGGGGGCCTCATATAATATATATTACATTGTGTTGGACTTGGCCCAATTAATTTACATGAAGTTCAGAGGCTGCAATCTCTTTTACGGTCTGCCAGTCACTTTCAATTGCAATTGAACTTTACAAAACCAAATCCCAATTTCGCAATTTCGGCATTGGAGTTTTGTTGCTCGACGGCCAAATCCTCCACCCTAATTACCACCGCTCAATCCCAATTTCGCAATTTTCTATTTTTGGTACATATTTTAATTTTTGTTATTTTTTAGCTTCATTATGCGGATGATTAAAGTGGCTTGAAAGGGTTATGTAGCTTGTTGAGTTGTTGTTTTTGTAAGATTTTATGAGTTCAGAGGCCAAAGCATTTCGGTACATGTTTTAATTTTTGTTATATTTGAGCTTCATTATGCGGATGTCGGATGATTAAATTGGTCTGAAAGGGATATGTAGCTTGTTGAGTTGTTGTTAACTTGTTTTTGTAAGATTTTATGAGTTTCAAAGGCCAGAGCATAATAGCATTTTAGCATGATAACTTGTTATAATTTGAAGAAGAAATTGTAAATAAATTTAGCTTTTTAGCTTCATTTTGTGTTTTCTTTTTCTTGGTATTTGACTATATTTTTTATTAATTAGTATTGTAAATAAATTTATTCATGTATTATTGTTGCTAGACGAGTTATGACGGGCAAAAGCAAATTCGAAACGGGAAGTTCGAAAAGGAAAAAGAAAGAAAAGCAAGAGATATTAACTAAATCTCTCACCGGTTCAATGGATAGGTACGTAAAACCTACAGCTTCTGTAGTAGAAGTTGAAGTATTTGGTCCTATTGAAATTGTGTTGAATTAATTGATACACCCGTAGTTGAAATTGGTCGAGATTTAACGGATCGAAATCAAATTGATTAAGAAGATAATGATAGGGGGATGGGAAATTTGAAGAAGAAAAAAGTAAGTTAGATAATGTGAATGATAATGAGGGTATGAATGATAACCATGATATGAATTGTTGTACAAAAAAAGACGAGAAGGTTGTAAGTTTTTGTATTCTAATTTACTAAATTTTCTCATATTCATGGTTTTTTTCGTACTTATTATTGATAATATTTATTCTTATTTGTTCAATTAATAAAAATTAAAAATATAAAAATACGATTACGAGCCTCTCTTAAATAAATTGTCTAGGGCCTCCAAATTTCTGGAGACGGCCCTGAATATATCGGATGGTAATACTTATTTAAGTTCTGATACCACATGCAAATCCGATGGTGGTGATGATTTCTTGCATGACCTGCACACGCCGGAGTTCTTAAATAGTATAAAATGTTCTGATGTTCCAAATCATGAATTGCACTTAAAGGTTGAGACTCCTGTCATGTTGTTGAGAAACATTGACCATTCAATTGGACTGTGTAATGGAACATGCTTGGGGATAACGAAGCTTAGCACTCACGTGCTTGAATGTAAGATTCTAACAGGATCAAATGCTAGACATAAGGTATTGGTACCAAGACTTTCCCTAACTCCATTTGATCTCAGGATACCCTTCAAGTTCCAGCGTAGACAATTTCTTCTTATGGTTTCTTACGCAATGACAATCAACAAGAGTCAAGGGCAGTCGTTATCCCATGTCAGACTTTACTTGAAAAGACTCGTGTTTAGTCATGGTCAATTATACATTGTTGTGTCTCGAGTTACTAATTCACAAGGATTGAAGATATTAATATGTGGGGAGGATAATGGGGAAAAGAAAACTACTAAAAATGTTTTCTATCGAGAAGTTTTCGACAATTGTTCAACCATACAATATTGTACTTTTACTATCCATTCAATAATAATGTTATTTAATTGTCATTTATTTTTTATGATATATATATATATTAATATATTTATTAAAATATTTTAATAAATATGTCCCGTGCATTGCACGGGTGAGGATACTAGTAATTGATACAATAGTAAGATTAAACTTGAACTTATTGCCCCATGTTATATAATGCTGTGTAGACTACTTGAAAGATTATCAACATAGAATAAGTTCAACTTGATTAAGAAAAATATCAACCATAACAACAAAGTTTTGGACAAGTACTCGAAATTTCGAATCATAAAATGCCAGAGGCAAATCCAACAGCAAATAGGTAAAATTAGAGTATTCTCCTGTTTATACGGAGCTGAAGAACAACAAAATTCAGGTAGAAACAAATCTGGATGATAATAATCTTGGTACAACTTTCGAAAAATACTACGTTCGACAAAGTTGTACTATCTCAGGCTGCAGTCTGTTTCTTAAGCTTCGCAAGCTCCTGTCTGACAACACCAGCCTTCTGCAGAACCTCAAAAAATAACTTATCATTAGACCTCCACAGGAAACTCGGTGGTAAGTTGTGCTGGCTAAACAAACTTTTAAGATGGTTCCAACAATATTATCAAGATAAATTCAGTGGGGCACAGGAGGATTATAGTTCAGCAAATATAAACATTTGATATTAGCAAATTCACTTACTAAAAATCTCATTTACTGGTAATCTAGAGCTAAATTGTACTGAATTATGACCTTGATTTTTGCGAGCATCAGCTTGAACCGGTCGAAGTCATTGAGGGTGGCCCTTCTCTTTTGAACAATGAGTTTCCTACCCCAAGAGCTCTTTTCCCATTTTCCCTTGACATCTGCCAAAAACATAATAAAGAAATTAAGCAATCTTCCTATCTACGAATTCAAAAGGTAGAGTAAGTTTTTCTATGTCCAGAGTGAAACACATACCAGCAGCTTCCATAGCAGCTATCAGAGTCTTCTTCTTCGGGACCCTTTTGATATCAATCTTGATATCCGTAAGAGAAAGTCTCTTGAAGTTCATCTGGCTTCTTACCATATCGGGGGCATCTACAAGAGCCTAAAGCATGGCAAACAAATTATTGAACAAAAACTATCATAACAAAGCAAACGAACCACTATAAACATCACAGAAGTTCAAACTTCAAACCCATGGTACATCTACAACTGCACGAGCAAGGGCCTCCATGTATATATAGCAGAAGCAACAAATGTCTTAATCGCGTCAACATTGGAAAGGGGCAAATGATATATTGAAAAATCTAACTCATAATCGATAAACGATCTGCGTAATAATTTACGTTCTGTTTGCTACTCGTTTTCATCTTTAATACCAACAAAGGCAAATGTATCTCACATAATCAGTAGTATTGTAAAGATCCACCCCAGTAAAATGTTTCAAAAGCTAAGGGAAACAAAGAAAACCCACTGGAGAACAAAGAGGAGACAAATTATAGCTTTAATCACGAGCATGAAACATAAACTTAGTCCAAAATTAAGCATAAATCTAGACCAATGGAGCTAAAGAAGACAATAAATCAGCACAAATAAAGAATAGCTACCACAGCACAGATAGGAAACAAATTCTATCTCTAATCCTGAGCATGAAACATAAACCCATTCCAAAATTAAGCACAAATCTCGACCAAGTAAGCCAAAAGAAGACAATCAATCAGCACAAATACGAAAATCAGCTCATCACACGGTAATCTACAGAAAAACGAATATTACCAAGCAAAGTTCATCAACTGAATAAACAAATCGGAGACATACCCGATTCTGGTCGATGACATCAACGATTACGACGAGCTTTCCATAGTCCTTGCCGTAGTTGACGAGGGCCACTCTTCCGATCTCCACGTACCTCTTGAACGGCTACAGACACAAGCAATTTAAGATACATAAAAAATCATCATTTTAACGTACACAGTTACAGCATTGAGGAGACATATGGATACAGATTAGAGCGTATGTTTACGCGCGCTCACCATGTTCGACGGTGATCTGCAAAATGCGTCTATCTACGCGTGAGGAGAGGCTCTGTGATGAGCGCCTGCGATGCAAATGAAGGTTTTGTTAATTGGGAATTAGGGTTAGGGTTTGTCTCCAGTTGTGTTGGGCCTGCTGGATTGGGCTTCACCGAAGGCCGAGTACTAAGTGTCAAACCTCATTCAAGGACGGCCCACCATTACCTCCTTATCAAACTACATTTACACGTATTTAATAACTATGTTTGGTAAAACTAAATGATAGCTGATAAGCTAGCTTATAGCTTATAACTTATAATTGAAAAGCTAGTTTATATGATAAAAGTGTTTGGTAAAATTAGTTGATAAGTTAACTGAAATAAAAAAATCTAATGAGCTTATTTGAAAAGTTACTCAAAAAAGCTTATTGATCAACTCGAGCTTTTTAAAAAAGCTCATCCTACCAAACGAAACTTATAATCTAACCAAATAAGCTAGATTATTTGGTTACCAACCATAGCCTAACTCGTAGGCTTGTCTGACAGATAATTTTTTAAAATGTGTATGATCTAAGCTATTTTACATGTTTACTGTAGTTTTTGAAAATTTTGCAACAATATGACTGTTGACGGTCGTAACCGTCAGCCTTACCTCCGGTAGGTTCTTTTTGCCTTGCCTGAGTGCCGGCCCCCGGTGAGCCATGACCATGCATAGGTGTTCGCCTATATTTTTAAAGCTCGACCGCAAGTGTACGGCTTCGCTCGTAGTATGTGGCAAGCAAGGTCGTATCCCAAGAGACCAAATAATTAATATATCAAGTACCAGATTATGATAGTGCCAACTTTATTTAGACGACCGAATATGAGATAGATTAACTAAACTAAGGAAATATAATCAAAGGAAAATAAAGCAACAATAAGGAACTAGCTAGAAAAACACTTAAGAAGAATATATGGGAATGGTAGATTCTAAGACTATGGGTTCAATTAACAGTTGGGTTCCTTCAAATTTATCACAACTAACTATTTTCTTAATCTACCCTATAAGATGATCGCAATTTTAGCCTATCGTCCCTCTCGAGATCGATAAAACCGTAGATTAAATCACATATATTAGCGTCTCCACTCAACACATGCAATTCAACTCCAATTAGAACAAAAGATCTAATATCCTCACAACGACCTACTAATCTCTCGATTCAAGCAAGTAAATTGTGTCAAATATTAAAGACCTAATATTGAACTCATCTCTCGAATTATGAACAATATTGTCACACATGTAAAAGAATTGATCAAGTTCTAAACATGAAATAAGAACAAAATATTTGAATAGGGTTCAAAAGAAAACAATCAACTATGATAAATCATCCAAAATCCCAACATATTAATCTACTACCATGTAGAATCAATGAAATTTAGCTACTCATGTTTGAATTCAAATACATAGACATATTAGAAAGCTCTCTAACGTGTTCCCCTCTTTTTGGCCTCTCAAACTAGGTTAAATATGTTTCCTCTTGTGTCCAAAAACCTCTCCTAGTCAAATTAGGCAAGTATTAAAATTCTGTTCCAGCGCGCGACACGGCCTGACACGCCCGTGTCACAGCCCGTGTCCCGGGTCGTGTCAGGTATCAAGCCTCGGAATGCCCCTGTTCATGTGACACGGCCACCTGACACGGGCATGGTGCCCGTGTCACTGCCCGTGTCACATCCCAGCACTCTCGTTTTTTGTCCGTTTCACTCGTTTCTTCCATATTTCCCATCCGTGCATCAATCCATCATTATATCGGGGGTCCTAGGTACTCACAATGCGCCTCCAATAGCCACAAGCTCTAAAAATACGTGAAAATATCTACAAAACAAGCACGTGTAATACCTTTCCAACAAATAGAGAATTAAAGCACAAATATGCGATTTATACACCAATAACGCAATGACTAAGCTCTAGATACTCAATAAATATGGTGTAAAATCACACATGAACAATAGGGGACTCACGGTCTTCCACAGTGCTTCTGCCTTTACAAATAAATTTTGTATAAAACAATACTTACTATTTATATGTCATCGTAAATAAAATTAAAACACTTTATTGTTCTATACTATGCATGATTTATAAAATTTAAATATGTGTTACTCGAACATTTCTATTAGATAATCTATATTGGAATATGAATTACGTTTTAGTCTTACAAAATAACGTAACAAAATAAGAATTGTACATGTGTCCTTGAAATAATTTAAATTGGAATATGAATTACGTTTTAGTCTTACAAAATCACGTAACAAAACAAGGATTGTGTGTACTTGAAACAACTTTGATAAAAAGTTGTATTTCATGATGTATTTGGGTACAATATTATAGAACGACTAGTGTGTACCCGTGCGATGCACGGGAACAATATTATAAATAGACATCGAGTTTGAGTCACTCAATGGCGGAAGTGGAAATTACTATTGATCCTATTTAAAAAGAGAAAAAAAAATAATTATAAATTAAAGATGAGGATAAATAATACTTAATAATTATAAATTAAAGATTCGGGGTCAAACAATGTAAAATTATTTTGTATAAGGAAATATAAAAAAATTTGATTACACACCATTTCCAAAGTATTATTATATTTTTTTGTATGGTTAGCTTATAATATTTATTAAAAATATTAGTAATTAGACCGATGGAAATTAGCTTCTTAAAGTAGATAAATGGATTTCTAGTAGTAATTATGAATTGGTTACTATTTTATTTTATTTTTTCTTTTTAAAGATAATGGATTTCTAGTAGTAATTATGAATTGGTTTCTATTTTATTTTATTTTTTCAAATCTGTATAAATAAGGGATGAGATTTTTTAAACACGTGAGACATATGCAATGAGATTTTGTAACTCGTGTAGATTTATACTAAAAATAGGAAAAAGAAAAACAAATATTTATTGTCAAAATGGTTTTGATAAACTAAAAAACAGGAAAAAGAGAAATAAATCTTTACATAATTAATGAGCCGATTTTTTTGCCTATTCAGATTTGTCCAACAATTACTATATATAGAATATATTTAATGATTTTGGAGGGAAACTGTTTCTAAATTTGTAAAAAGGTTATTCTTTTTATATAATGATAGATTTAGTTTAGGTGTTTTTAGACATATCTTTCAAGAATATTTTAGAAAATTTTAGGTAATTTTATACATTTTTTGAAAACAAATATACATCCTAAATATTAATTTTGACATGTATAACATTCTAGTACTTCTAGTATTTTAAATAGACATTTTACATGTATATAGTTCAGTACTTGTAATATTTGAAGTAGACATATTTGATGTTGTTTCTGCAAGTTAATTTATGTAGCTTATAAGATGTATTATAATATATTAACCATATCATTGATTATAAAAATTATATTATATATTTACTAGTGCACCAATTCACCCTAGTTATTTATCAATGGAGTAAATTTATGTTTGGAGGAGTACATCATTACCTAATGCAACAAACAATACGATATCCATCCGCCGCATTTCAATTTTGAAAATGGTCTGGAAAACAGTATATAAGGATCAGCTTCTTTAAATGCATTTCAATTGCATTTCAATTTTGAAAATGGTCTGGAAAATAAGGATCAGCCTCTTAGACGCGATCAACCTCTTAAACGATGTCGTTTCTAATAATGTAAAATAAATAGGATGGATGAGTTTAATAATTGGCTGGGATGGGAGGTAAACTAAAAAGTGACAAAAAAAAAAGTGTTTGAAGAATGAAGTTTTTTATGAAATCTATATCTATTTAGTATTTATTATTACTTGAACTTGTGCATTTGCACATATATAAATAAAGTGTTATAAGTTATTTATATTCATATAATATTAAAATTATAAGTTAGATAGTGATACTAAATTTTAAACATAGAGTATTATAAGTTATATTTATGCATATAATATTAAAATTATAAGTTAGATAATGGTATTATGTTTTAAAATTCGATCATTGGTTAAAATAAATAGTACGTAACTTTTTTGATTGAATATGATTCACTATATTGATTGTATAAACTGTAATAAATAAGATAATATTTGTAATTTTGAGAAATCATGACCAATTAATTTGCTGAAAAATATTAACTCTATTATAACAACTGCTTATGCGATTTTAAGGAATTTTACTATGACATTGAAACAAATTAATTTGCTTAAAAACAATTGCTTAATTAAACAAAAAAATAAAATATTAATTTAGAATAAATAACTTGAACAAAAAATTTAACAATATAATTTTTTATATTTATGTAACTTTCATATATCATTTAGTGTAAAATATAATTATTAATTCCAATAATAACTATTATATGATACAATAAACAAATATAACTATTACTCGATTAAAATAAAATGTAACAGTTTTTGTATCTTTTAATTAACAAAATCAAATTTTGAAAAGTTAAGTGCACGTAGGTAAAATTTTCATATTGTATTTAATGAGTTGCTAATAATTATATATGAAAAATGATACACAAGTTGAAACATCCACTTGTGTATTTTTTTTATTTTTATTTTTATGGATGTTTTTAATTGTGTTGTCAACCTAGTTGTACACTAGGTTGGCAATACAACAAATGATCAAATTCCAACGGAAAGTTCCAATACAAATTAATTTTAATGGAATTCCAACAAAAATATTCCGTTGGAATGAGTTTTTCATTGGAATTTCTGTTGTATTTTGAAGATTCCAACGGTAGATTTTCTAATGGAGATGGAAATAAAAATTCCAAAGGAAATTACATATTCTAACGAAATTCCTACGGTAAAAAATCGTTGGAAAAATAGCCGTTGGAATCATCAAATTCTATCTAGAATTCCAATGGAAAATTCATTCAAATGAAATATTTTCGTTGAAAATTCCAACGGAAGTTATACTATTGGAATATTTCTTGGAATATATTATTTTAGAATTTCCCATTGGAATATAACATTTTTTTTTTTGTTGTGGTAGCATTTCTCATTATATATATATTTATATATAGTTACCTTACAAAAGTGCAACTTATATAAATCTAAAGAATGGAACCTTACAAATATCGAACGGTTAACATCAAAGAATGGAACCATTTAGCCACTTGTTAAAAATGTAGATTGAAATTGTCTGTACTTACCTAA